CTTTTCTCGTAATTATGATTTCTGTAGGAAATCATGAGTAAGCTTCTTATGAACGTGATCTTATAATTGTAAGATCTGAATCTTGTTATGATCAAAAAATGCTGTAACTAGGAAATAAAATATCAAAAAGATACAAAAGTTCAGAGGAAACGCCTTTTTATTATTTTAATTATCAGTTGAATTGACAGAAAGCTGCTTGCCTTCAAGTTTACTTCTGACTAAAAATTCCTCCACGGTCCTAATGACAATACTAATGATCGTGACATGACGGTCTCATAATTACTAGCGTTTTCTCATTGTTAAGAATTGTTTGTGAATTATGAAATTGTGTTTGTACAGTTGTCATTCAAACGGCTTTCTCCTACACAAACATTAGCATGGTGAAATGCTAATAGTGGTCAGTTGTAGCTGGATGTTGTCATCTTAGTTTGGCCAATAATGAGGTGATATACATTTCTCAACAAGTCAGTCATACTGTTTATATACCTTGATAGCTATCCCTTATGTCCCACCATAATTCTGAGTGTATGGGGCCAATGTTACAAATAAATGATCTTTAATATATTTTATTTAATTTACTGGATTAATATGTAAAACATTCTTGTCTTCTTACTTTATCCATATTGAATGTCAAAACATAATCATGGAAGTGTTTTCCTTTAATTCTTTCCTAGGCTCATATTAACATTTGTGCTATTGCCATTGATGCACTTAGTCTTTGTTATCATTTCCATTGGCCAGTCATGTCCGGTAATGGCTGCACATTGCAAATGGAATTACAACAACAACAACAACAACAACAACAACAACAAGCAGCAGCAGCAGTAGAGTTGCAGTGCGTTCAGGCTCATGGGGGTGTTGTGGTACAGCAGCCATGTTGTGGAATAAGGTAAACCTCCACCAGGGAAGAGATATCAGTCAATCAGTTCTGGTTTCGATTATCACGGTCAAGAGATTTTGGTCCAATGTCAAATTGACATGACCTCCATTGAGCTTTCTGAGGTTCAGTGACAGGGTGTGTGATTACACTGTGACCTCTCTGTCAGGACATAGGCTCAAGTTGTTTTTGGATGACACTTTTCACATCTGTGCGTGTGAAAAGGCTGATAAGTTGGTGCATGCTCTGTGTGTGACTGCTAACTTTCTCCGTCCCTTTGCATGATGTGTGTGGTGTGTGTGCCCTAACCCCTGAGCAGGACAGCACTGATGCATTTGGAGACAGCTGGAGAGGGCCCTACCAACCAGGTACTGCAAATTCACAACTCCATTGCCAGTGCTAAGTCCATTGCTATTTATGTCTTTTATTTTGCTGTTATTTTGCTGCTGGATTGGTTAATTGATGTTGTACTTTTGTTTGTACTTATTCATGTATTTATTCTGAATACATATAAGTGTTGAAAAGAGGAAAAAGTAGCACAAGTAAGCAACTAAATGTGCAGCGGGTATTCAAGAAGAAGAGTTTGTGTTTTGGGGTTGTTTCCTTTTATATTATTATGATGCATATTATTCAAAGTAATGCTTCCAGACTAGGTCCACTTAAATTCCAGCTGTTTAATTCCCAGTTATATTTTCTCTTATAATAGACACTGCAGATGGACAAACTACCTCACGGCAGCCCCCACCATTTACATTACCCAGAACCTTAGACCAAATGTCCTCATCCACCTCACCTTCACAAAGCCCTTCCTCTGGCCAGCCCCAGACCCTTGATCGCTCTCAGTCTGCCCCGGCCGCCATGGAGCAGGCCTCAGCATCAGGGGTCTGCGAGAACCAACTTGGCCTCCAGGAGCTTCCTCTGCCTTCGTCCCTAGCAGAGGATGCTGGTTCTACACCTCACCAGGTCCACCCTCACCCTCTGCCTGTCCACGTAAACTCCAAAGTGCCCCCTGTGCCCAGTCCTTCAACAGACGTCCTCCGTACATGTACCCCTCCAGCAGACGTGACTACGGCACCCCAGTATCCGGGAGGTGAGCTACAGACTGGAGCCGCAGAGGCAGATGCTGAATCAGACGAGGTGGTGAACAGCTCCGTGCTCCCCCATCCAGAAGAACTTTCACCTGTTCAACCCATGGAGCAGGAGGCAACTGAGTCCGACACAGCTGAGGCAACTGAAGCCTGTCCGAGTGCTCCGAGGCAATCCGACTCAGTTGAAATGGAGTCCCCCCCTGCCTCCCAGGGCGGCGTGTCCCCTGAGAGGGACCAGCCCGAAGGAGAGCACTGCTCCAGCTCCGACAGCATCCCCTCGCTGGCGGCCGCTCTGATGGAGCTTCATGAGCTGCTGGTGTCTAACAACCAGGCTCAGTCCCAAAACCGCAGCACCTCCTGCTCCCCCTCACATCCATTCAAACAGGAAACGGACGAAGTGGCCCCCGAGCCGTGCCCACCGACACCCGAAAACACCCAGCCTATCCCTTTTACTGCCATCACAGCCGGTGCAGAACCAAGCGATGCCAAAGCCAACCATGCTGCTGCTGTGTCTGATGAGGGACCATCAAAGTGTCTTGTGCCTGACACCTCTGGCCAGGATGAGCATCTGGGCGGAGATACAGCAGAAACTGTGGAGGGACAAGGACCACCACAGTGTCCAGACGGCTGCGGGGAGAAGAGGGCAGATAGATGTGGGCAAGATGAAGCCAGTAACATCAGTTTTTTGCAGCCTGAGCCAGAGGTTCCTCCTGATCCTGCAGAGGATCTGGAGTTCAGGGAACCTCCCGAGGGGCAGCAGGGGAGAGGGGTTGCAGACGGTCGAGCCTCTGGCACCAACACCCCAGACACTCTTGGCCTCCAGACCGAGCACACATTTCTCAGCCCTCTGTCTATGGCAGTGGGCTCACCCGACGACATCTCCAGCACCTCGCCCCCCTCTTCCCCTTCTCTTGCTCAGGCTCCCCAGCCTACGTCTCCAGCCCCTCTTCTCCCTTCTCCGCATCCCTTTATAGAACAATTTCCAGCTGAGCACATCCAGAGAATCCAGGCAGCAGGGTTTTCTGCCGTGGAGGCTGCAGAGGCACTGGAAAGAGCCCACGGGGTTGTGGAGCTAGCTCTGCTGGCACTACTAGCCCGCAGTATCACTGTGCCCACCTAGACTCATTACTAGTCTTATGAGTCCCCCAGCCTCCCAACTTTGCATCTGTCTTATTTATAACTTGTTACTGATCCAGATGTCGCAGTCCCTCTTTAGCAGGGAGCACGTAAAAACACAGGGAAATGCTGTCTCTTGGTTTGTCGTACAGAATATCCAAGAATAAACAGGACAACTGGTAATACTTTTCTGGATATTGCAGATATGTGAGGTGTGTTTGCATGCAGATGTTTTGGGTGCCCACCCATTTCATTGGTTTTTAGAAATTTGGTATGGTAGGTTGATTTTCTTCTTGTTTTTTCGTCCAACATTGACACATTATTAAATGCCCAATGTATGATTCTTGAACCATTAAACATTTATTATAATTTCCCCTTTGATATGTCATGTGTGGAGCATCAATAAAAATAAAAAATTAAACTCAAAATGGAGTAGAGTTACTCCTACTCTCCATCTCAAAGCAACTGTCTGGTGGGTTTTGGATCATTCAGCACAAATATGGATATTTGAAGCAATTTGCTGATAAATAAAGCATCACGTTGATTTTTATGTTTGTACGCCCTTCAATTTACAAATCAGAACCCAATGACAGAAGCTACATTGTGGGAACTGCTGCAGTTGAGAAGGGTTGATCAGGTTTACAGATAGTTTCTCCAGATAAGTTGAAATCCTTATATACATGGCCATTATCACACTTAAATATCAAGCGAGCCACAGCGTTGACGTACGATCATTGATGGCATTTTTTTGGTTCAGTATGTGTATTACGGAAGGTATCTTTTACTGTATGTATCATTCACAGTTTGAGAGCCTTGCCATGTGTAGATTACGAAACTGTTTCCTGTTCAGCAAGTCCTTTTATTTTTTGTGTCAAATCATCATAGTGTGTGTTCATACCTTTAAAAAAAACAAAAAACTAAAAAACATCCATTTTCATTTTGTAATCTGAATATGGCCATACGCGCCTGTCAAATGTTTTGTCAGTACATCATATATCAAGTATTTTAATGGCTTTATTTGAGTCATATACCAACAATGTTCAGGCAGATTGAATTATCTACTTTTATCTTGTATGAAATTTTAAATTGCAAATAAAATGGAACTAGTATTTGTACACTTGTGTGAATTTATTTTGTACGTCCTGTAAATAAATGCAGCGCGATTATGATTTAGCCATTCCCTAATTAAGTCATCATTTCTTTGCTATTTACACAGTACCAGGGTAATCAGGAACCTGTTTCATACTGAAAAACACATTTAAGAAATGACTTGAAACCTTTTCGATGTGTGAACTAGTGTGTCCGTAACTGTCATAGTATGCTGTTTTTGCAGAGAGCATATACAAGAATTTATGTACGTAACCGTTTTGTAGTACAGGAAATGCCACAGTAAGCGCATCAGTGCACGTCAAATGTCACGTCCAATTTAACTTAAGAGGAAAATGTTTTTCCGTAGATGTGTTTTTTGAGGTGTTCACAAACCACCATCCACTTTTTTTTTTCCTCCAGCTGTGAGAAGGTCTTCCATTTACAAAATGCATGTTTGCATGTTTTTTTTTAAATACGTGTAGGGTACTGACTTTATTTTCCACTTTCGTCACTCGAACCCTGCTAAGAATTAGCTCTGCACGTAACTACTTGTTTTCATAATCAAATTATCGGCCAGTTATTTTGTGGATTCATCATTTTGTGTATAAAAGTCTGAAAATAGTGAATAATGAATTTCCCAGAGCCTATATTGACGATGACAAAATTTACTTGTTTTGTTTAACAAACAGTCTAAAACCCACAAATATTACATTTACCACCATAGAAGACAATGAAACCAGCAAGACACCTGTTAAACTTGAATTTACATTTATTATGGAGCTGAGACACAGCTAGAGTTTATCAGAGGCTTGAAAAAGAGCCACACCTGGTTCCAGTTTTTGTGATTGCTGCTTAGTAAAGACTGCAGCTTTGTGTGGGAGAACAGCGAGAGAACAGCTCCAGACCGAAGTGTTATGGCTCAGTTTGACTGCAGAGATGACGATAGCCGCTGTTTGAGCAGTAGCATTATCACTAATCTACACTCCTGTTTTGAAAACAGTCACTCAGTGAGTAATTGTAGCGGGGGCCCAGATGAGAGCAGTGACTCCATGAGTCAGGTGGAGGTTTACAGGTAAGGACCACATGGTGCAATTAGAAAACCTCAGTAAACACTTACAGGATTAAGATGATGAAATATCCTTTTTTTTTTTTTAGCCCTTCCAGAGACATGTCTTCAGCTCTTAGATCAGTGGCCTTAATGCACACATTGGATCTGAAAAAAATACATGCACCTGGGCTGTTCTCAGTACCGAGACCCGAGGAGGAGAATCCAACTCTGTCTCTATTGAATAATCAGGATACAAGTCCAGAAGGGTAAGAGAGGCTGTACATCTTTATACCTTTTTAATAATCTGTATCATTTTATCTAAATGTGGCCTTTATTGAACCCAGGGCAGCAGATCTAGCTGAGGAGGAAGTGTTGAGTATTTCATTCCAGTCAAAGTACATTCATTTTTGTAAGTTCACCTTTTCTCTTACGGCTATCAGTGAATATTGTTTTATTATTTATAGCAATCTAAAATACCGTGTCTTCCTTTGCTCTGCAGTCCCACTGTATCAGGATTACTGTCTGCAGGCGGTGAAGAAGGACGTGCTCAGACTGAACAAGAGTTTTGTGTCTGAACTGATAACAACCCAGTATCTGCCGGGTCTACAGTCCCGCCTTAGTCCTCACTGCCATTCTGAGCCTACATCCCCTCAGTCCAACCCTCCTGATGAGACTCCATCCTCTCCTCTGCCTCAGCCAATCAGGGTGACTCCGTGCACCCTTTGGCAAGATCTAGATGAGGTGAAGGCGTCTGGCCTGCTCAGCAGTTTGACAACCAGAGAGATTCGCCTTCAGGAGGTGTGAAAAGCTGCAATCTTATATAATCTGGAACCAAGCAACATTAAAATCAAACTATGTGATAAGAATGAACAAGACATTAGTGTATCAAACGATTACCTGGTTACCAGCTGTACCCGTTTCAGCAGGCTGACGGGTACTGCTGTGTGTTACTGTTGGTTAACCATGATGATGTTCAGCATACAGCATTTAGCATGTTGTTGTGCTTAAGTTTGCTCTTAACATAAAATATTTCTATATATTCTTTTTAGCCATTTTGAAATCTGTACAATAGTTTTAAAAAGACTTCAACACTAAAATGTATCATGTAACTTTGTAAGCTAGCATTAACATTTAGCATGTTAACCTGAAATCTAAAAAGTAATGCTCTTCAGGGTTTAGTGTGACAGTGAGAACATTCACTCTTGTTCCCTCATTTTCTTCCTCTGAAGTCAATGTTTGAGTTGATCGGCTCTGAAGCGTCCTACCTACAGAGCCTTGGAGTTGCTGTCAGTCATTTCTATGCCTCCAAGGCACTGAAACAAACTCTCTCTCGAATGGAGCATCACATTTTGTTTTCCAACATTCAGCGTGTGATGGCTGCCAGTGAAAAGTGAGAGCTCCACATGCAGTAACTTTTTGTTTTGAACTGGTTGTGTTTGTTTTCATCCTGATCTGGTGTCCCATCTCTTCTAGGTTTCTAATGGCTCTAGAAATCCGACTGGGAGAGAGTGTGTTCATATCTCACATTGGAGAAGTTGTGCTCCAGCACTGCCCAGAGTTTCACAGCCTCTATGTCCCATATGTGACGAACATGATGTACCAAGAGGTCCTTCTCAACCAGCTGCTGTAAGTCTCAGTTCACTACTTGATACCAATGGTGCTACTTCACAACAAACTTTTTATAGCATGTATTCAGTCACATCTCTTCCTTCTCAAGGCAGCAGAACAGAGACTTTGTGTATTCAATAAAGAAGCTTGGGAGTGACCCAGTGTGTCAAAGACAGAGCCTCAAGTCATTCCTTGTACTTCCCTTCCAGAGAATTACTCGCATTAAACTCATCCTAGAGGTAGGGAATTGTCTGCATCCAAATATATATTTTCAGCTTTGTATGACACATTTCAGAAGTCAACTGAGGCTTTGTTGGGTTTTCAGAGCATCCTGAAACTGACTGAGCCAGGCTCCGACTCCATTTTAAATCTCAAAAAGGCAATAGAAGCCATTCATGAGGTAATACTGTTTCACTTTCAAGTGTTTGGATCCGCACAGACAGAATTAAACCAGGGAATGTGCAAGTTATTGGAGGGCAGAGTATTATAGTGCTGAGCAAATGAATAAGAATTGCCATTTAAATTGCTTAAAAAGTCAAGTCTGAAAATGTAAACAATGGTATCACTATCTGTGCTGTCCAGATAGTAACAGAGTGTGACAAGGGGGTCAGAAAGATGAAACAAACTGAGGAGCTGGTCTGCATCGAATTGCTGCTGGATTTTGGCAAAGTTAAGGTGACAACTTGTTTCTTTTTATCTAAGATTTCTTATCAAGTCTTTAACAGATGTGATTCTGTTATGTAACCTGCAGATGGCAATAAGTTCTGTCAGCCTCTTTTTTTTTTTTTTTTTTTTTTTTCCCCCCCCCATCCAGTCTGTTCCTCTGGTCGTGAGCGAGCGTTTTCTGGTGCACCAGGGTCCCGTGAGACAGCTGACTGCGGAGGTCACTTACAGCTCAAGAGTGCCTTTCATCAGCGTCTACCTCCACCTCTTCAACGACCTTTTGATCATCTCCTCCAAAAAGTATTTGACATGCACTCAAAATGGGGCAATTACTAACCATTCTCTAACACATTTAAAAGCCATGTAAATGTTTTTTTCTTGATTCCAATTATGATCCACTTCAGATAATTAAATCAGTCCAGTTTGGTAATAGTCCTCACATTGTTGTTGGCCTTTTTAAAACCACACTGTTCTCTCATGTCAGGGATCAGAGGTTCACAGTTGTGGATTATGCTGAATTCCCCACGCATGTCCACCTGGAGCATCTGAAGACTGAGGTCCTTGGTGTCCCCCCAGACTCCTTCCTGTTGCATCTCTCTCAAAGTCAAACCGGACATCCGACCGCCATGATACTTGTTACACACACAAGGTACGAGTGGACATCCCCTACATTTTTAAAGACTAATAAATGTCCTTTTTTGTGTGATGTGTAATGTGATTCATCGTCTTTTATTGCAGGTCAGATAAAGAGGCGTGGATGACGGCGCTCTCGTCTAAACCATGACAGAATGAGAACGTGATTCTAAGATTTTGATTTTGTACATCAAACTTAAACTGTTTTAATTTGCACATTAGTGATATATACATTTGATAAGTTGTTCACTCTTTAAAGTTTATCTTGACTGCACTTAATAATGTTAATAACATGAAGCATTCAAACATACACTGAACTCATCACAATTAGACACACGTGGGAGTAAGGGGATACTTTTTATTTCATTGTTGGGAATATTTGTTTTTACTTGCATTAAGTCACTAACTTTTGTTAAGCACTGTGCCTTTTTTTTTTTTTTTGAATTTTTTGAAAATGTTTTTCTGACCTCATCAGATCAGCCTAATGGAACAAAAATGCATCAACTGAATAAAGATGGTGACTTGATCTTCGCACTGTGAAATACTGACAAATATTTAGCACAGTAACTCTAATGCAAAACAAGTGTTTTCAGAGGACATTAACAAGAATCCATGAACAAACAAAGAGGAATGGAGCTGTCACATAAAAATTAGAAATATTATTACACTAATATTGTGCTCCAATACAGACAATGGCATCAAGAGCACAACAAATACAAACGTTTACATTTGACCTTCTACTTTCTTTTCGTTCTAAATATTATAGTATTATGGACATGATGACCAACAGCACTCACTCTTCATGTCGTCAATCTTTCCTGGCAATCTTTAAGACCGGGAAAGCTCGGTAGTGACGATTCTATCTTGATCACATTAATGTAACCACAGTCATATCATGATATTAATACTGCCCAACAGTCTGCTGAAACTAGCTGAGAGAATTAAGACATTTCACAATAAAAATCAATCTTTGACAGCAGTGCATTAGACACAATAGTCAATTTATCTAAACAACAGTCTCATCCCGAGGAAGCTCAAGCTCTCCTACACAGGGCTGACCTTGCCTAGACTCCGGTTCACCTCAACTGCCTCCTAAACAACATGTTGGTTATTAGGGTGGGTTCACTGTCTCGTGCTGTGAATGGTAGCTGGCTGATCCGGCTGTAACACAGTCCTGATGCCACAGGTTCTCTGCCAGGCAGTTGAGGAGGGGAGCAACGTCACCCAGCCCGTCGCTGACCTCCCCACCCATACGCAGCACCGGTATGCTCCATGTCTCCTGGAAATCCCTCACATCTCTCTCTACCACATCACAATGCATGAAAAGGTCGAACCTGAAGGAAACATTAAGGACAAATGTCTACTGATATGGTTACATTTAGCTAAAAACACATTTAGGAAGTGGTGAGTATGTTTTAGCTCCTTCTCTTCTTACGTTTGATGTAAAAATAGGACTAGCAGTAGTTAGTCATAGTCTTCTCAAAAGGATACTTTGTGCCAACCACCAGTTTCACAACACGACCCACAGATGTCTCAGTCCATTTGGCAATTTGATTTGACAGATCATCAAAGGACGTCCTGTCAGTGAAGGAGAACAGGAAAAGGACAGCGTCCACCTGCTCTTTACAGGACTGGAACACACAGGAAACAGTGATGTAATAAAACTGCCGGTGTAATGGTGATCTAGAATAACTCGAGTGGAGTCCTCCTCCTGTTTCACATTAGCTTCATAACTCAATACAATGCGTGACAATGCTTTAGATTTTCTACATACTGGGAGCAAATGGTCAAATCTACGCAGGGCGTTCTCCCCACAGTCCCACAGCTGCAGACGGAAGAAAAGCACTCTGCCACTTTCTCGCAGCTTCACTGGCCAGTACACCACTGTTGTTTCAATACCTGAAACAACAACAGATCAGTTAGACAAATATTTGTGTGACCTGATCTGAACCTTTAAATTGAAGTTTGAACTGTATAAACTGCTGACCTACCTGTGGTTTCATAGTGCATGTTAGGAATATTAAGGCCTGCAAGATGTGCAGCCAGAGCACTTTTCCCAACTCCAGTCTTGCCAGAGATGAAGATCTTATAGTGAACAGTGTCCACAGCTACATGTGGGGGCATCACTGGAGACTCCAACAGGCCTGTAAAACAAGTTTTACCATCAAAATATTGACTAACTTGCTTGGTACTCTGTACCTAAATATACTATCATACTTTGTGATCTTTTACAGCCTTACAGAAAGATTGTTACAGCCTGTAACAGTCTTCATGCATGGACCTACAGTTGTGTTGTTGTATTGCAGGCTAAAGTCCAAAACGTTCATAATCATAAATAATTAAACCAGTAAGCTTTACTTTAAGCATCAATGGTGTCTGGTCAAAGTAAGGAGTACGGCATATGTTTGTTTTCAACATGAGTAGTTCTCATGTAATTATATAGAAATCCTGAATAATTTCAAGTCTGTCATTTTGTTTATATTTATTAAATCTGGATCAAGTGTCTGTCACTCTTAGAAGTATCCCACAACATCTACTCATCAATATCCAGTGTTAGAAAACACCCATATCCAGCAATCCTGGGCTCTTTGGCTGTTTAGCATTGCTTCTTTCTGCTATGTTATTTCACTGATGCTGTTTTGTTCAGTCAACTTGTTTGTTTTTTTGTTTTTTTTTGTTTTTAGTGATTTCGTGTTGATTATCCAATAAAACAGTACACAAAAACTCAGGGTTGTAACATGCACTTTTCTTTACACGTGTCCCGTTTCCTCTTCACACAACCTCAAACTCAAGCATAGGTGCATGTGATATTTGTACAGCCTCCTAGGTTCATTTAGTGTTTACAAACTGTCCCTACATCCAGAAGCCATGAGGACAAAAACCAACATCATGTCTCAAATTTAATGCATCCACAATATCTCTGCAATCAGCACCGTAGGAGGTTCATTTCATGGACACTGGTCACTGAGTGTTACTGCTTCATGAAGTGACAAACAATGTCTCTGCTAGTCCGCAAGTGGCAGCAGGTGAAGGTTTTCTGTACTGTAGAGCCAATATACTGAAATACTATGCTGTATAATAAAAAGAAACCTGGTTACACTACAAATGTACACATGAATTGGGCTTTTGAAAACGAGAAAGCCGCTGAAAACCACTAGTTTAGTTGTCATACCAAAGTTTTTGCGTCTCTTCTTGTGCAGGATCTTGCTGAAATATTCTTTGCTGTCTTTACATCGATGCCAGTCAGCCACTACGATCGATCCGGGAGGAAGAACTGGTGCCATGTTGTTGTTGTCGCTAGTGATGCTGCGTAGCTAAGTTAGCATCACACTGCTAAAGGTCAGTTTTTAATTCTTATAAAAAGGCAGAATAATGCAAATAATCTAATAACAATAACAACAACTGCAGTCGGGAAACAACATGTTTCAGCCTCAAAGTGCAGCTAACGTTACGTGATGGAAACTTCCGTCAACTTTAAAAGGTCCCTTGACAACCGCCTTAGATACAGCCGGTGACGTCATGGCTTCTTCTTCGCTGGGTTTAATTGGCGGTTGTCAGACTGGCGTGAAGACGCAGTGGAGCCACCTACCGGAGGTTTCTGTGCTACGAGCGTTTAATGAAGAAATGTCTCTACCACATGAAAGAACAAACTGCAGAGATGATTCCAGATGTGCACATTAGTTTATTTGTTCTCTAAATCATATCCAAAGATGATTGTAGGCAGACTTTACAGGGCTCATGCCGAGTCAAATTAAAAGGCTCAACATGCCAAATTAAATGTCCCGTGAAAATGTTGACTTTAGGATAAATATTGTGGAGGGGAAAAAAACAATATATGTGTTGTTTTATATATCCCTATAATCATCTTTGGATACCATTTGAACAACAGCAAAGGAACAAGTTTAGTTCAGAGGCATTTCGTCATCAGAGGTCCTATGACGTAGATCTGTATGCTGATGGTTGTTTCTCCGTGGACACACACTCACAGCCTTCAATAAAAATGGCCCCAAACAGCATCAGATGTTGGTGTTATGGTGTAATGACTCTTCCTCGGTTACTGTGGTTACAGTCTGTGCATAGTCCAGTTGGGTTTGTGAGTTTGTGATGTTGTCTACAGGTGTTACAGCTTTATTTGGCGCTCAGCTTTTTTAAACACGAGAACACTTTAGACCAGTGGTTCTCAACCTTGGGTCCGGGAACCCCCAGAAGTCCTTGAAGTGGTCCCCAAAATAAAAGAGGGATATTTTAATTTCACTATTATTTCATGGGCAAAAAAGTGAGCCCAATGACAGCAGGTCTATTGTGTTCATAGGTTTTACACTCTTCACTGTTAATCTGCCAGTCGACCCAGTTATGGATCTAAATCTTATCAGATCTCCATCAGATGTTATCAAACAAGGGCTCAAAGCCTGATGTGTATCAATATTGGGGGTCTTTGACACTTAAAACGTTGAGAACCACTGCTTTAGACATTAAACCTCACAGAGTTACAGCAGATGTGCGAATAATGCTTCAGTTAATCTGTTAACAAATGTTTATTTCAACAATCATTTGCAGGTTTCTGTGCTGTCCTCTTTAAATGTCACATGATGTTAACAAGAAAATCACACTTTTAAAATACTATTTGCTGTGTTGCTGTGTTCAAGCACACCAAATGAATGATGCACTGGTTGATTCCTTCAGGCGCCGCCAGATGTCGCCAAAACTCCAGCGTTGACATGTCAAAGGCAGAGAAGAGACATCAAACATCAGGAGCTACTGTAACCTGTGTGCTCTGATAGTCAGGAAACCGCTGCTGTCCATGGTCATGGTCACAGATTCCGGGTCCACTGACGATGGTAGTTTGCATTGGTGGGAAAAAGTGTTTGTGACTGCGCCATCGTCTCCCAGCTGCATGGACAACAGGCAGAGAAGTGGGAAAGTTAGAGTCAGAGAAATGTTTAATCTTACACATAGCCTACAACATTTTCCTCACCCTTAAATTCTTCAAAATGACAGTTTTATAATTCTGATTTTAGGCCCAAACTCAACTTTACTTTGTCACATTAAAAATAGAGTTCAGACTTTAAAGATGATCTGTAATCCATCAGATTCAAGACATTATAATAATTTGAGTAGGCTACTTTAATTTAATTAATTTATATGTTGATACTATTGTCATCTGCATTTACATCGGCTGTGAAGAATATTCTACAGCCAAAATTCTAAATACTTATTTTCAAATGAGTATTTGTCTGAGGCCCAATTCAGCAATCATTTACATTTTTGTGTTTGCTATTACAGATTACTGACTGCATGACTCACCTTCTCTGCATGCACCTCTATCATGTTATTGGAGAATGTGATGATAACATCCTCTGGAGAAAATTCACTCACATCGAGCGTGAACTGGAAAATGTCTCCAATGACCAGGATCTCCCCCGTAGGATACGAATGGCCTGAAACAGTCATTAACAGCTCTTCAATTCACTGATTTTTAGCAAAGAGCAGGTCGAACTTGCATTTGTAAAAGGAAAAACGGAGTATATCTGACCTCACCTGTGAATTTGTTTTCTCTAACGGTTTGCTGAGGTAGTGATCCTGAATCCTCAAAGAAAGTACCTTGACCTTTCTCCATACAGGCTGAGGATTGTGTCTAACGAGCCGAATGTACGGATGCAAGAGAGGTCATTTTAATCTAGCAAGTTCTCCCCTGTGTCACTATACATGAGTCTTTTATAGTCTACTGAGTGCTTGTTGGGGCCACTGTGTGTGTGTGTGTGTGTGTGTGTGTGTGTGTGTGTGTGTGTGTGTGTGTGTGTGTGTGTGTGTGTGAATGATTCAGCTGTACTGGAACATGACACGGATTGTAGATATTCAATGTGTCAGAACTGCTGTTGAACTGTTGTCAAGGGGTCCAAACTTTCTAGCCGCACCCCTGACTGGAGTCTTTGTGTTTGTGTGAGAAAGGGTGTGGAGATGTTTCTGTATGAAGGAATAATTATCAGGTGTGATATTGAAGGAACTGTCATTCACAACTTTAAGCTGGTAGAATGACAATATGACACAATTAAGTAGCTTTTGGATCAAATTTGTAATGTAATTGGGCTTTTTTAGGGTTTTTCCTATAGGTTTTCTCTTAAAAATGACACTATACGTTACAGTGGGGGAATTTAACATGGCTGAGTGACGGTGGTATGATGGAGCACAGTCGTGTGCAGGTGTGACATTCTACACCACCTTGGCAAAGTCACCGAGGTTGATCAACTCCATCTGGATGACAGGCGTCACCAAAACAAGCTCTGTGAGGCTATAAAGGAAATACCAACTAAAGTAAAAAGATAAAAGTTGAGGTCCAGAAATTTATTTTTGATAATTTAGCAGTCACAGTGAGGTAAACAACAGAGGAAAGGCCTTTGGTAACCTTTATCAGAAGAGTTTGCCATGTTTTGAGCATGAAAGTGAGATATGTGTGGCAGTATTACATATGTGTGAGGATGGTGTATGCAGAAAGGTTGTCATATTAGGCTATGAGATTTTATGATATCATATCTTCTTTAGGCTCTCAGTATTTATATGTATTGTTCTGGTTGTCATTTATGTGCACCTTGAAGTCTCTGCCCACTTAAACAAATATATTTTTCTTCTTAAGCTCATATAGTTGGATGTTTGACACTAGAAGGATACTTTCACAATTATCTGCTGAATGTGGAAAGTTTCTCTGAGCTCATTGAACATCAGATTTTAAGGGGCGGGGCCTAAGAGAATGATTTGTGACATCACAAACAGTTTGTAAACAGTTATATCTTAATTATGTCTGAATTATGATTAATTACATCTTAATTATGTCTGTTTATTAAACATCATCAGTGTTTTTTATCACTGTTCTTTTCTAGTTTCACGTTATACCATGCTCATAGTTGCTAATTAAAACTAGAGGTGAGGCCGATGGGAAGTATTGGGCAAATAATAAAGAAATAAGAAAACCTAAATGAAAAGTCTGGGATCTCCAAAGTTCACAAAAACTGTGAATGTCTGTGCCAAATTTACTGGCAATCCATCGAATAGTTGACATTTCAATAATTTAACAAATGTCAAGCTGCTGGTGGTGCTAGAGAAAAAAGTCAGGGCCTCACTAAAGTCAGTAGGATCATCCTCTGAGCAATTAAAAACAAATACAATACATTGACTACAGAGTACAAGAAAGTGATCCAGTCACAAAGAAACGCTGATTTTATTTAGACACAAAAATATACCTCCTGGCAAACATGCACCAGAGTTATTTCTCATGTAACAAATGACATAAATATAAAATAAAATAAATATTAAATAAAAATGGACAGTTGTTTTAAGACATGATGTAAACATGTTGAGGAAATGCATTATGTGATACAGAGACTACAACTACAAAACATAAGAATGTATGATTCTTTGCCCTGAGTGGAATAATCATTCCAAATATACAAATAAGTCTGACTGATTACAAAAACTGTAGAATCCAGACACACTGGCAGGATAAAGTGAGTGCTTGGAAGAAAAAGCCCTTAATCATATAGAGCGTTACATTTTTCAGTCAGTCAGTAAATATGAGCCAAGCACTCTCACATTGTCTCACATTCTGCACTTGTTTATGTTCAACATATAAGACATTTTTACATATAGATAAATTATCCGCCTTCTGTTATCATAAAGTACATAAGTGTTTTCGATCTCAGTCCTTTCTGAGTGGCTTGGAGGGTCCTCTTCAGTCGTGCCACACTGCGCCACAGAAAAAAGAAAAAACAACCTGCAGCGTAGCTCAGTTTCACCCCCCCTCACTCCCCTCCCTACTTCAGTCCTTCTCCATGAGTGAAATGGCATGGTCGGTCAGTGCACTTTGATTTGGAGGAATGCTTAGATCACACAGCAAACACGCTGAGGGAGCTGGTTTCATCTTTCAGACCCAGGATGCTGTATGCTATCCTCTTCATGTGACCAGGCAACCGTACTCCAATATTCCTGATGTCTCTGAAAGGAAGAGATAAATGATACCGTTTTAATTGTGCTAAAAACAATATGGACTCCGCTTTACATAAAGAGACACACGCAGTGGTCAACAGTGACTGAGTTGCTGAAATTATTAGAAAAAATAGAAATCACATTTCAACTAGGCCTATTAAAACACTTGAAAAGTTAGCTAAAAGTAATAGATAAAGAGTTTGAATAGTAAGCTAAAAGTAATGGATAAAGTTAGCTGGTGTAAATAAAAGGCTACAGGGCTGTGGGGGTACATCATACAAATAAGGCAGGGAACCACTGCTGTGGAAGTTATGGTAGTAGAGAATGAGAGGAATGGCATGGGCAGTGTGTTTCTGCATTACCAAACTGGATGACAAATGTTCATGCTGTGAGCTCAATACTTTCTCTGTGTAGCAAGTATGGCCTGCTGCACATGTGCCATGTGTGCACTTACTCATGCCTCAAGGCGAGCACCTGCTCCATGGTCGTGATCCCAGCGCGAGCAAAGCTCTCGTTGTACTGGCTCATTTTGATGGACTCCAGCCACTCAGGCACCGACCTGAACATGGTGCCGTCACAGCCGCTGGTGCTGGGCAGGCGGATGGACACGCTGCAAGGAACAACGTATAGGATTACTCATTGTTTACTGCTACAATATGAACAGTGCCTGCAGTGGTGTTTGAACAAGAAGGAACCAGTTTTACTGCAGTGTCTTGTCCTTATTTGTGCATAAAATGTTTGTTTTTTTGACCATTTCTTTTAATTTTGTCTTTTACTTTGTTATCAAACCAAAAATTAAACAAAAGTACTGTTCATACCGTGGGTCAAAGTCAGCGATGGTTTTCAAAGACTCTGGGCTTCGGAGCAGTTTGTCCAAAATGTTGACGATGTCTGAAAAGCGAGGACGTTTGGGGCGGTCGTGCTGCCAACACTGGAGCATGAGCTGGTAGATAGCGGATGGGCAGTCCATCGGAGCAGGAAGCCTGAAGGCCTCGTTGATAGCCTTCATGACCTGAGGAAGAGACGGGGTTGGAGGAAGGCAGTGGTTAGATCTAAACTATATTTATGGGTGCAGTGACAGACGGAGAGTTTGAAGAGTTATAACAGTTTGAAAAACAGTGCTGTGTTCGTTTGTTGACATTAACAGTTAATTTGAAGAGGATGGTGGGAAACTACCCTGGATGTCAGGAAACTTTATATCACCACCCAGCACAGACTCTCTGGTGGTAATACACATAAAAGTTTGACCTACACAGGCCAAAACAATCCTCCATCTCAACCGTAAGAGCTGGAAAGATGATGTGACAGATGAAACATACCTCATGGTTGCTCATGTCCCAGTAGGGCCGTTCTCCAAATGCCATGACTTCCCACATGACGATCCCGAAACTCCACACGTCGCTGGCTGAAGTGAATTTCCTGTATGCGATGGCCTCCGGGGCCGTCCAGCGAATGGGGATTTTACCTCCCTGAAAGAGAAACATTAACAAATCATATTTAATGGGTGAAGGGAGTGGAAACACAAGGTGCTGAAAGACCAACACTTTAAGATTGGACACTTGAGAGTGAAAATACCATTAACAGTCTGGCCTTTGTTACTAAGAAAAAAATTAAGGTTGCTCTGCTTTATGCTGTGAAATGTAGCTGTTAGACTTACTCTTGTTGTATAGGTGCCCTCAGCGTCATCCTCCAGCACACGAGACAGACCAAAATCAGACACCTTACACTCCAGGTTGCTGTTAACCAGAACGTTTCTTGCTGCCAGGTCACGGTGGACGTAGCTCATGTCAGAGAGGTATTTCATGCCGGCAGCTATTCCACGCAGCATCCCGACGAGCTGATAGCACGGAAGCTCTCCATCACGGTCCTGAAGGGACAAAATACATTTAGACATTTTTATTTTATGTGTCATAAATGTCAGTTAAGAGCAACTTTTTTTTGTTTGCTTTTGTGACAAGTTGTGGTTTTATGGGGGGGTTATGTGCCAGACTTTTTTGATTGAGATTTTTTGCCCCGAAGGAGTGACTTCCTGGAGTCTCTGTTGTTTGACAACCTACGGTGATAACAAGATTTCAGGAAGTCACTGCGTCCAACCATTAAACAATCCGCCAACACACACAACACAAAACTTGTTTTTGCACTTCTTATTCTTTAAATATGAGGAAAGAAACACAGAGTTTCCAAGGAATACAAATATGAAAGTACTAAAAATAGTTTAAGTCTGAAACTCGTTTGAGCCTCCTGTTCCCAACTAAATACATACACCTACCTTCAGATATATGTCGAGGGCTCCGTTTTCCATGTATTCTGTCACTATCATGATATGCTTGACTGAAAATGAAAACAAAAAAAATCACATTTAGTGAAAGAAAAGCATACGAGCAGTTGATACAAATGATTTGTGAACGACTGTTTGACTTCTGTCTGACGTCATCGACTCACATTTGGTGACAACTCCCTCCAGGCGGATGATATTCGGGTGCGAGAACTGACCCATGATGCTAGCCTCGCTCAAAAAGTCCTGCCTCTGTTTTTCTGAGTACCCCGGCTTCAAGGTCTTAATCGCCACAGCCACCTCGCCGCGCCCGGGAGTCTTCATCACACCCCGAAAAACTTCCCCGAACTCTCCTGATGGTCAGACGGACAGCAGGAGAAACATTACAAACTACACTTTGAGATTTCATTAAATGAAAGGTAGATGATTTTATAAACACTTACCAACACCGATGACTTTTTGTTTGCTGACGGCACTTGGGTCAATTTCTGTGACAAACTTCTGGATGGCAATGTTAGGGTCCTCATACATATGTGGATCAACATACGTCTTCAGAGGCTTGAGTTGATCTAAGGAGGACACAATGACCAGAATATTAGGCTGAATACTAACTTAATTAACTGTTTCACCAGTATATTAAACTATTATTGCATGTACAGAGTGGTTTTCTAACCTGTTGAAAAGTAGGGATCTTCAGGTCCTCCCCTGCCACGAGTGCTCAGTCTCCTGAGAGAAAAACATAAATAATCACTATAGGACTAAACAGAATACAGGCTGGCTTTTTAGTAATTGCAGGTCAGTCTCTGCTAAGAAAGACCAAGGCTGTATTCAATAGCAGCACTGACTATTACTGATAAACCCTCTCTGAGCTCTCATACCAAAATATCCTTAATTTACTCGAGCTTTTGGCACATAATCACACAGTTTGCAGGTCTGTAGATAACATTTATCTTGTTACCAACCGTTTACGCAACAGCAGGACAGCCACCACAACGAGCAGAATAACCGCTACTCCAACTATAGCTCCCATCACCATGGTGGCGTTGTTTTGGATCTGAGACTCGGCTATGCAAATCACAAAAAGAGAAACATTTATCAATTCAAATGTGTGAAATAAAAATTCATACAGAGAGACATTTTAGAAACAAGTTGCTCTTATGTAGATTATAAGGTTGCTGGTACCTAATGGTGAAGTCTGGAACTCGTGCTCCACACTGTAGCTGCCGGGGCTACCATCAGGACTCAGTGCCTGGACCCTGAACATGTAAGTAGTGTCTGGGGTGAGGTCGTTAATCTGTACTGAATCTTTCTCCAAAATCAGGACTGTGTAGGTGGTCACATCACGCTCGTCATCATCATCCTGCAGAGAGTAAAGTGGACGGATTAGAATAATTTTTCTTTGAAAAATTCATACGACAGGCTCCATTTTGAACGGGGGGATGGAGAGACAAAAGAGCACAAAGCGCTCTGTCTTACTTTTCTGCGGTACATAAGCTCATAGCGGTGATTGATGTGGGCTGGAGGCCTGCGAGACAGAGTCCAGGACAGAGACAGACTGGTGGGGGTGCGATCATCCAGATGGATCAACGTCACCTTGGGGGGATCTAACGGTCGGTGAGAGACAGAAAGCAAAATATTGGTTAGTGACTAATCATAGTCTTTGGAAATTAAAGCCTTTGGGACTCAGTGGGTCAGACTGAGTTCCTCTTTGTGTAGTAAGCTCTTCTTTTTGTACTTTTTACTGAGAAATACAAAATTATGTGAAGACATGTCTCACTCTGTTCCCCTAATATTCTTTTTGGAGCCCTGGAGACCCCAGACCAGCTCAACAACAGCTCAATAAACATACAAAAACAATACCGCCTGACTTTTTCTAACTTTATGAGAAACATGGAAATACAATGGATTTTCATACGCTGTACATCTCTGGTAGGTGTTGAGAGAACATTTTACACTTCAACTCCCAAATCCCAAAGAGGTTTATTTGGATTTCTGTTATTTGAGTTTTACAACAGTTTGGGAGTAACACCTCTCTGGGGTTTAATTACTCCAAACAAGTAATGTCACTACAGACGATAACATACTGTACATTTCTGTGTCTGTGAGTGAGTTTTTTTAGCAAACAAAAGCAATATATATTTGTTAACTGATAGTTCATATAACACATAAAACATTCTGTGGGTCACTCATGTGTCCAGGTTCATTTTTACATATGTTGCAGGAGGGTCTATGGGACCTCAAACAATGAGGAAGTAAAGAGAACAAAGCAAGAAGAAAAACCTTTTGATGAGCTCACCTGTATAGTCCAGGGTGGTGGTGATGCTCGCAGTGGGCCTCTCAGTACCGAACTGGGACACACCGCTGTGAGCCTCCACCGTGAACGTGTAGTTGAGATGAGAATCCAGGTCATTGACTATGACCATGGCATCGTGCAGGTCTGTAGGACCCGACTCAAAACGGATCTTCTCGCCACAGGGGACGCACAGGGCCCCGTCGCAGTGCTCGCAAACCACACTGTAGGTGAGGTCACTGCGGCCCCCGGTCACCAGCGGTGGGCTCCAGGACAGCTGCAGCCTTCCATCTGCTGACAGGGTGGTGGCGCTCAGGTCGCGAGGGGCACTTGGTGGAGCTTGGGGGAGGAAGTGGATGACACAGAATAGTTAGCCTGATCTTCTGACCTGCCTCTAATGAGCTGAAAGTTGATTTTGTAATAGCAATAGTAATATGACAGAGAGTGGGCTTGTTACCAGAGCAGGCTGACGTTGGAGGGTCTGAAGGGGAGCGGAAGAAACCTTCCTCACATTCACATTCAGTGGCGCCGGCTCTGGAGGGTTTGGTGTTATCAGGACAAACCTGACAAAACTTGTTGGATAGAGATGGCTTGAAGTAGCCTGGTTTACATGCTGTGTGAGAGAAAGAAGGTGTGTGTGTGTTAGTTTAAGCATGTTATATAAGAGTAACTGTGAAACAGACAAACACAGGAAGGAATGACTGATCAAAAAGCAAACAATGAAACTGTCTCTGTAATTCCAGCCCCTTCCACCCGACAGGAAGCATTTGTTGTGTGTAACCTATAATCACAAAGTCTTTGTATGCAGAGGAATGAAAAGGGATTTCCCTGACGATCTGCCTCCACTCGCCTTTTTTCGCCTCGAGGCCTAATCTCAGGTCGCACCGCCAGTGTCAACCGGATGACAATGGAGCATTAGTCCATCAGGTGATCTGATCTGCCTTTCCCCTGTGAACCCTCAGCTCATATTCTCTGGCAGATAATATTTATGTTTTTGCCAAAGGAAGTGGCACCTTGGACACTGGTTGTGATGGACATTTTAGCACACAGATAAACAGCCTTCCAGGGCATGGAAGGTTAATGAATGTGCAGAGTGGACAGAAACCAGGATGCGAGAGCTGCAATTCAGTCCGAAAGCTGATGTTTCCTCCCTTTCTTCCTTCCTTCCCCTAACCCCGACACCAGGAGCAAATTACAGCATCCAAGGCTGAATAGTTAGAGGACGAGTTTGATTTTCAGTGTGTTTATGGAAACAGATGCACATACTTTCTGGGGTGATAAAGGGCTCCAGCACAGTAAAAAACTTAAAAAGAACAGATCCTATGATAGATCTACTCTCTCTCTGCTTTCATTCTGCTCTCCCCCTAGGTAGGGACCTTTCATCTGGCCCTGTGCTGGTGGCCGTGAGAAGAGGTCGAGTGAACCCTGGATTGAAGACGTGGTCGCGTTACCTCACCACTGAGGCAGAAGGACCTTTGCACTCCAAGTATTGCTGCGGTGGAGGAGAAGGAGCAGGTTGAGTTTGAGTAGGAGGGATAAAGATGAATAGATGGACGGATGGGGGATGGGGGCAAAGGTCTGGAGCACCAACAGAAGTTCTCTCTGGGGAGTCACTTGGCGACAGTGGGGGTGTAGCTGAGGTCTTTTACGCATAAGAAAAGGGGGCCAGCCCATTTCATCTTGAGCTGGGGCAGCAGGACCTCTGTCACGTACCAAAGAAACTCCAGACCTATTCATCTATTGTCTCTGAGATTGGACAGAGTGGTGCCATAAATATGTTGCATTGCTCATTATACAGCTCGTAAATGGCGGCATGTGTTCAATGTATGAATACAAACATTTGCAAACTTTGGCACTGATGGATTATAATTGCTTTTTGAGTTTTTAAGCATCATATTTTTATTGGGGTTTTGTTTATCTACAAAAAAGGTTGAAATATTGATGTAATTTGATCCATAACTTTAATTCAACTAACTTTTATTTCCACTTGTCGGTGGAGATTGTTCCTGTAATTGTCCCACGCTCCTTTTTGACTACGACACACATGTGAAAAGGACTTATGTTCCGCACCGGTGCATCTGTTAATTGAATCTGTTTTTTGCTCTTTGTGTCGGCCCATTGTTCTAATGAGTGGGAACATGGATTAGGGAGCTCGTTGCGTGTGTTAACAACCGGATGAAAGAGCAAAGCGGGGCATGTCATTGGCTAACAGCTGTCCTGTTGCTCTACTAATCCTCTTGACTAAATTACACTCCACACCTAACTAAGCAGCCACGAAACTAACCACCCTCATGCACCAACTGTCGACTCGCTCCCCACCCTCTGACTCCGACCAAGGACAACCTGCTTATTTGTGTCAGTCAGCATTCCTCCTCATCTCACTTTACTTCCTTTTCCCACAACAGTTGGGCTCTTCAGTGGAATCCACATACCGGCCATGAGCCTCTAAGGATATCACTTTCTCTAGTAAACGTAAAATTGGAAATAGGGACCTGGCTGGAACAAACTACAAACATCATAATTTTGTTTTAACTTACGTAATAAAACATTGTTTCCTGAATCCAAACAATCAGGTCATCCTCCAGACTTTGGAATCACAGTTTTTCACATCATACATATTTCCTGTCTTCCTTTGCCAGCTTCCGTTTCAGGTGCTCAGCTCAGAGTCCGCCTGCGGTCAGGAACCTCAAAGACTAAAACATTCCTCTGTCTCGACTTCCTTCCCCGCCTTGCTCTCTTATTAGCTCTTCATTTTTACAACCTCAGTACAAGATTCACTCTCTGAGGCACAATACTTATCTAGCAATGGTATGTAGGGCAGCAACTAACAATAATTTTCATTAACTATTAATCTGGCGGCCATTACCCTGACTAATAGATTATTTGTCTATATATTTTCACAAAAAAAGCTGACACCCTCAAATGTCTTGTTTTGTCCAATCAACAGCCAAAACCCCCAAGATATTTAGCTCAGAGTGAAAAAAAAATGAAAATGTAAACAATTTAAAAGCCAAAAACATTGACTTTTTTGGCAGGAAAAAAAAGTTGGTATTGATTCAATCAATCTCTCAGTTCTTTCAGAGGGTGAGTATAATCTGCTCACTCACAGACTCCAAGAGACCAAACTCTGCCAGTTAAGGTGACTCGGACCATCAGGAGTCATAAACCGCCGCCTGACTCAGTCTGCTCTGATAGGCGTGTCGGCCCCATCCCTGTAATCTGTGGTTCCTGTCGCCTTAGCAACTGACACAACACAAATACTTGCGAGGAGAAGACATACCTCTCAGGTAGTCATTTTGACACATTCACACGGTCCTTCCTTTAGTCAATCAGTGCTGTAGGTGACGCGAGGGTGAAAGAATTCCTTTCAGAAATCCCCGCACCATACTGTGCCCTTCCTCCCTCCTTCCTCTTCTCTCCATACCCTCTCTCCTCCCACGTTTCCTCCAGACAGTTCAACACACCACACCCGAGAATGCTAAAAGACAGACCAACTTCCGCACAAACAGCAGGAGCACATACAGTATGAACACCGCAGTTTTGTGTATTTGTTTTTTGTATATGTACTCAGGCCTTTCTCGAGGGCAGTACATACTGCGAAGTGTTGCATACTTAACCTTTGTCTGGGTGTCACTCATATGAAAAAGTACGAACCTTCAGCAGTATGTTCCCAAACTGCTATTAGTTTTAAAATTATATGAATCTGTTTGTTTTAAAGACTACCTGTCTATATCTATCTGGGTAAAAAGTTTACCCTCATGTCTCTGTTTAACTACACAAATAACTTACTTTACTATTTTTAATTAACAATAAATTATAGTAGATTAACTGTATTTCGACATCAAATAGTGACTTTTGAGGTTCTGTAAACTTTAAGTGGAGCTCCAAAGAGAAAGTAAAATGTTTTTCTGAAGATTTCATACTTTTTGGCTTTAAGTAGCTCCTTGGTGTTGAATTGTGGGATAATGATACAATCAACACCACATTCAAAAACCAGTAAAATTTAGTAGATACTGAACTGATAAAGTCAATTCAGTATGTAGTATGTAATTAGGACACTTCTTTTACTGTACTTTATCACCTCCAGCCATCGACCTACCCATAAAACAGTGCCCCGTCCCAGCCCTACTTTCTGAGTCTTGAGAAAATGGCTGTGGAAAGAATGCACCATTGCCCAACAGGTAAAGAGATGACAGATTGACGGGACACTTGAAATTTCTTCAGTGATTTTTTTCCCTTCACATGATCACATGGAGCAATCTTCCAGGTCCTGCTGTACCTGCCCTACTTTCAAGACAGATATGTGTCTTGATGATAGATTTCCAAGCAAACCAGACACAATTAACATTCTTCTGCGCTCATTCGTCACACCTTGCCAAAGAAGTGGTCGGAGGTGTTTCATTTACTATAACTCACATCGAAACACAAACATGTCTCAGTTGAGTGCCTGGTGTATTCCTGGCATTGCTTACCTTGGCAGGCGTCCCCGGTGGTTTCGTAGCCTGCCAGACATTGGCACTGGCCCACGGGAACCACCCATTCACCCTCAGCTGTGCAGTAGATGCGTGGGGTGGCTTGACTGATGGCATTCTGCACACAGGCTCCCTCCACCTCTCTGAGGGAATCCGCCACGGTCTCCGGGAAGGCCGCCAAGCTCTGCACTGTGGACGGGCATGTCTTGTAGTACACTCTGACAGACAGAAGCGCCACACAAGCGCCCATGTCCTGAAAAGCCAGGTAGAAGCCCTTTCTAGACAGAGGCCCCACGGTCCTCGTCTCTGTGTTGACCTTCAGCACGCGACCCCGTGTGACCTCGTCAGGAGCGATGGTGGCCACTTTGCGGAACTGGCCTTTACGGAAGTTGGTCCCCACGTCGGCATCAGCCTCTGAGATGAAAAGGTTGAAGGTTTCTTTGCAGGCGACTGAGGCACCTTCAAAAGTGTTGCAGTCTCGCACAACAAAACGGAGCTCCACAGAGACACGTGTGGTCCCCGGGCGCCGCTGGATGAACGTTGTGCGTAGCCAGTTATCCTGTTCAGTAGAGTCTATGCTACAAACACTATAGGTATAGAAAAGTGAGCCGTTCACCACTGTCTGGACTATCTCCCACTGCAGAACAGAAAAGGATAAAGAGAGATGAGAGGGATTAGTTTAAGGTTATTACCAAGCTTCAAAAATGAAAGGATAACATTTCTTCAGGGAATAAGTACAGGGTTCAGAGGCTTTGTTCCTGCCGAGAGCCACGTTTATTGATGAGACACCTCTTCTTTCATGCTGAGTGAGAAGCTCATAAAAGTGCAGGAGTGAGCTGGAGCCTTTTTTTCCCCACAAATTAAGATTATTGGCCTGGACATGTGCGGTGCTCACGACGTGTGTGGTTTTCCACTAACACATGAGGGCGCATGTGTGTGAGACACACATAAATCCAGCAAATAGTACAGTAGAACACCAACTAAGATTTATGGCCGTTAAATGAGCTTCATAAGCACAGCGTAAAAGCGTGGCAGCAAAATTGGCAGCAATTAAGACTTTTTTAAGAGAGGGAAGCAATGACGAGTAGAAAGATTAAAAGCCTCCATTTAGCATTAAAAAGTAACACTTCTTATGTTGGCAGTATTGGTGCGTTTCAGGGAATGAGTCAGTGTTTAAATTTACATTATTTTAACTCTTGTTAGAAGAGAGTAAAGAAAGTAAGTAAGTAAGTAAGTAAGTAAGTAAGTAAATTTGGCATATTTCCACTATTTCAAACTTTAGTTTAGTTAAAGTTTAGTTAAATTGGTACCATTAGATTAGAGCAGCACTTTATGAGATCATTTAAGTCAGTGATTTTCATAGTTACACACGTTACATCCTCTATATTTTGACCAAACTGGATTTCAGGCAATTACTTGTAATTACTATCCAGCGTCTATTATCTACTTGGAAAGATTATGCTGCATTTAGAAAATAAATTGTTCAATGTTCACACATTGCAAATAGTCATCCTTTGGTACAAGTTTAAATACACTTTACAAGTGTGAGAAAGTTAGATAAAACAAAGCAAAGTTTTAAAGACAAGGGGAAATCCTATCCGATAAAAATCCTTAGATCTAGAACAGTCACACAAGAAACATAGCCCACACAGTGGAAGTGGCCATGTCCTGTTGCTTTTTTTAGCTGGAAAGCCACTGAACTATAGATAGAGGGATGGTTCTCCACACATGGACCAGTCTTTCTGTCTCTTTTACTTATGTCTTCCCACAACTGTACAGATCATCTTCCTGCTGTTATCTCTAAATTCAAACAGGAATCCCCAGTTAAAATAAATAAATATATAGTTTTATGTTTTGGTGCAGGAATGAAGGCAATCTCCTGTGATTGTATAAAATCCACTTTGGCACTGTAAATTTAAATGTAGGTTGAACCTTGACATTTTAATGGCATTCATAAGTTCTTTATGAAAGGGTAGCGTTAACACAAGACTAGCTGAGCTCTGCCAAACCTCATCGAGCTGCCACTCATTCCATCTCTCCCAGAGAGCTTTTTTAGTGGGTTGAATGAGCTGAATGAGGCCTCTGTTATTGTTACAAAATATTCAAACTCTTCCACCAACTAATCTTCAGCTGCCTTTTTATTCACCTGTTGTCTTACACAGAGATGAGACAGTTTTCAAGTCTTGAACCTGAAGTCTTAAAAATGCCTGTTGAGGTATAAATACTCACTCCGTTCTCATATGGCATCGTCAACCACCCCAACTCTGATCCTGAAGCGTTCATATCCAGCAATATTTCTACAGAGACAAACAGAAAAACACATATGGTATAGTTACAACAAGCTCAGAAGCAACTAATGACTCAAAAATAATAATAAATAAATAGGCCTATATATAATAAATATTTAGCAATTAAAATGTTTTACACACCTAATATACCACTGGCACAGACAGATTATTTGTTTAATAAGCTGCTAAATAATTATAAATGATTGTGTTTTGACTGTACAATTCAATTCTCTGCCTTGATCTGCGGGGCCAACAGCTTTATGGGGGGCACATGCCATGCTTTGACAGTCTAATCAAGCATGTCGGTCTGATTCAGGACTTCATTGACCGTGTCCTCCAGGTCCAGGATACAGGACTAATAATGTCTGAGAAAGGCGTGGGCACTTAAATTGCCATGACGAGAGAAATACATGAATCTGCCACCACAAGTGAAACAAGAAAAGCTGACATGTTAAAGCAAGCCACCTCACAGGTTCCCCCTAACCCTGAGCTGACAAAGGTCAGTAGCCTAAATACAAAAAAAAAAAAGTTCACTTAAAAATAATTTTTTGAATCATTAAAATAATTATAAAATGTATAAGCAATGTTCAGATAGTAAAGGGACATATTCAATACAGACATTAACTTTTATGGATTAAAAAACAGAACAAAAAGTTCAATAGGCTATATGAGGAATTTTAACTTGACAATGACAAACATTTTAAAGTTATAAATCAAACTTAAAGCAGTCTATCAAATTCCAACCCCCTGACTCATGAGGTGCGGCAAAGCCAGCTACACTAATTTCAGTTTCACACAACGCGTTTAGAAAAGTTGGGATACTTACGTTCTTTGGACTGAAGGCTGGTAAATACTTGGTTAATAAATAAAAACAAGAACAGGTTGACACGACGGAGCTCCATTATTCCACACAACTTTCTTTCCTTCTTTCTTTTTCTTTAAAGTCGTGGAGTTATATCCCCAGAAAGTGTCTCCTCTCTCCTCCGTCCGTCTGTCCCCACTGACTCCACTTCTCCGTCTTCACTCCACCAGCTGAGTGAGCACGAGCCCGCAGACCATTGACAAACAGGTGGCGTCATCGCCCCGCCCCGCCCCGCCCCCGCCCGCGCTCTGGAATGTCGAAGTTCTCCAAATATGGTAGTCGAGGGGGGCGGGGCCAGAGCGGTTGGCCCGCATCTGTTTCATTGAGAAATGATGTTGGCCGTCATAAACTGCACTGCACTCATTGTATTGACTCTTATTAATTAATTAATTAATTAATTAATTAACTAATATCAAATCAAACTCTCATTCAGTGTCATGTAAACACTAAATATCATACACATTTATATTATATATTATTATTACCTGCAAATCATTAATTATATAAATATAGTTGGCTTTAACACACTGTCAAATACAAACTTTGCACAATGCATAAATAGACTTATATTATATTTTTATATATTATATAATACATATTTTTCCCTTTTGTTGTTCAGCTTTGTTTGCCTAGTTTTTAGTTGTATGTCTATTTCTATCAGTCCTGTAAATGGTTCTTGTAACAGTCAGAGCCACTGAAAAATGGAGTCAAACTCCTTGTATTTGTACACATACTTATCGATTGACAAAAGAAGTTACAAGGCAAAAGATTAATAATTAATTAAAATAAAAAAAATATTATTTATCCTTAATTGTTTTGCAAGCAGTGATGGAAGAAGTATAGCCTACACAGATATATTACTTCAGTAAAAGTATAAATAACCCAATAAAAACCACCGTTTAAGTAGGCTTTTAAGTGAGTGTACAATAGTGTCAGCAAACTGCACTTCAATAATAAAAAAGTTCATGTTTTCGTTAACTTTCAGAGAGTATATTATTGTTTGTAATCAGTGGTGGAAGAATCATTCAGATCCCTTACTTGAGTAGTATTAGTATGACAACAGTGTAAATGTCCTGTATTCAGAATTTTACTTAGTATCAGCAGCAAATATAAAATATAGGTGACTTATTAAATCAAAAGTTAAAGTACTCATTATGCGGAATCACTTTAGTCACGTTCCACCTCTGATAATCTGTACAATTGTTAAAAACTTGATAGAAATAAAAAGATTAGAATAAATATTAAGCATTTCCAGCCTGATTTTCTCAAGGTTAATACAAATATTAATATTTTTTTATTTGTGTTTTACATATGTTTTTGTGTATTAGATGTTTGTATTTCCATGGAGCTGGCCACAAGGAGAATTTGGGGCAATACACTGAATTGAACTCAATTGCGTTATTAAATGCTGAACTTGAATCATTTTTAAACAAAGCAAAACCAAAAGAAATTAGCGTTTTTTCCTTGCAGTCTTTCCTTTAACGTCTTTGTACTGGAGCTTTGGTGTCCTGTCTTGCACATGGCATGGGAATTTAATTAAAGATGGAGGGCCATGGTATAGCATGGATGTAAACAATCAATTCTGATCCTGTTTGGGTACGCTTGGTGTTTAAATATACATTTAGAAATGTTCTTGGATGTTTCATCTGTGCTGGAATTGCTTTTCACTGGCTGCAAACAATAAGCAGCAATAATACTGTACAAATATGTTTGGACTTTAGTTACCTTTTTAAAAAAATGAAAGAGTGACTGTTTAAGTTAGAAAATCTTTTTTTGACCGCCCTCCAAGTAATTGCCTGAATCCTCCACATCTCGTCCAGGACTTGTCTTTCCCACGACTGGTAAAGGAGGGGTCAAGTAGGGGGGGTGGTCTGGTATGAATATATGACTACTAATGAGGCGGTCCTCATAAAGAACCTTACAATTTGGGTATGAATATGTGACCACAAAGAAGCTCTGACAATAGCATCACCTAGCAACTCTTATCTGGAGGAATTTCAGAGTCAAGTCTTCTCTGTGAAGCGCCGTGTACTTGGACAGAAGAGCCCCTCGATCTGAGAGCCAAACACAGTCGGCCATCCTGACAAAGAGCCCCCCCCACCAAAAAATCTACTGAAGAGGCGGACATTGTCTTGTCCAACGTTACCATACACGGACATTAATCATACAACAGACAGAGTGAAAGATGTTGGTGAAATAATAGATTAACAAGTTAAGTGTGGGTTGAATTATGGCTCTCTGACCTTCAAATGACAACCACTTCAATTGCTTACAAACACAAATTGAAGTTTAACATGATAAGTATATGTTAGGACATTAAAACATTTCTTTAAATGTTGAGAGAGGTTTAACAAAATTGTCGAGCAGAAAAAGTTCTCTTTTCATCTACTATTTGTCGGCTTAAGCTTCCACCAATATTTGTTGTTCATTATTCAAATCTTTTTACAAACCAAATTTAAGTTTCATGTCCCTCCTGAGGGAAAAATTGCGATCTGCTTTTCAGTCCCACAAAGACCTGACACCATGCTTTAAGTTCCAGATATCCCTCACTTTCAAATGATCCGACACACTTTGTTTTGAGTGTGAACTGCCACTTGAAGGAAACTTCCATCTTATGCACTCAAGCAGCCCTTTCTCTCCTCTCTGTATTGGTTTTGATACACACTGAGGTACGCTAAGGTGTTATTTTCGAGTGTGTTAATGCTTAGACTCTGAGAAGTGGTTTCTGTTGTCATCCAGTTCTCGAAGGTGTCAAAGGTTAACACCCTCTCTAACACACAAGTATGCAAATGCTTTCACCACAATGCAGGCTTCTTCTTATTCACCTAACAGAGCATGCGTGCTGCCCGAGAGCAGACTGCGACCTCACAGCGCTGAGCCCTCCGGGTGCTCAAACACACACCCCACACCCCCCTCGGGTCCCGGGCTTCTGAAGGGCGATGACAACACAAAAGTACTTCACACTGGGGGCTGGGGCTGTATTTTGTGGGTCAGTGAACAGTGGCCAAAGCAGCAACGCCATGTCATTCAGACCCTGCTCCCCTCACACTCCCCTTCTTTCCTTACACTTCTTGTGGTATCAGCAAACAGAGAGGATTGAACTATTGAACACACCGGGGAGGTTTTGTGAACTGCCAACAGAAAATGCACCTACTGTTTTCAACCATCCCACCATCTCAGTGAGGGCCCCCAGAACGCTTGTTAAGAAATGATGGATTCACACCTTTGTTTATAAATTTTGATGACTATAGCCTAACTCACGGTGGTGGCAGAAGTACTTAGATTATTTACTTAAGTTAAATAGCAGTACCACACAACAATCAACACCAGTACCAAACCCTACAGTACAAGTTAAAGTCATACGTTAAAAATTTCAGTTTAGTAAAAGCACAAATTTGCAACAAAATGTACTTTAAGTATGAAAAGTAAGCACAGAAAGTGTTACATTATTATACTATTGAATCATTATTATTGATGCATAAACATGTAAGTGGTACTATAATGTTGTGGTTGGTCGAGGTAGAGCACATTTTTTACAGCTGGGTAGTTTAATCTATAAGAATGTATTATATTTTGTAAAATGATCATCTGATTTGTATGAAAATTTGTAACTGTAGTTGTCAGTTAAATGTAGTGGAATAAAAAGTGCAATATTTCTCTCTCACATGTCGTGAAGTGAACCATAAAGTATAAACTGGAAGTACAAGTACCTCATAATTGAACAGTACTCAAGTAAATGTAGTTTCACCACTGCTAACTGTGTCTGTGTAGATTTAATTTGGTGCTGAATATTTCTTGCATATTTGCATTATTATTGAAAGAAAAGGTGGAAATAGCAGTTTATGTTATGGAAAAGTGTTTGAAAGTCTTCTTGCAATGACACAAAGTGAATTTTTTATTGTAACATCACAATTCAGTGATGACCATGTGTCTCCAACAGCATCAATAGTTAAGTTTTTACTTTAGCCTGATAATCACACCGGATTTGAATCACTAGAAAAAACATGTGGGTCCTGATTCAGAGGCCTGGAACGAGACTATGGGAGACATTGCTTTTTGAGATAATCCGAAGGGTTTTAAAAGGTTTTTATGAGACCATGAGTTAGGAATTTTCCACCCACTAAGGAGTGCGTAATCCTTCAACTTATCTGATAACATAAAAATCACACAAGGCAAACGTTGTATTTTTACAGCATAACAAGAACAGACACAACATTGTTCAATTCATTACTGCAGTTCTATTCACACAATATGATGATACTGATCAGCCCTATACAAATAAACTACAACAGACAGTAGGATTTGAAGTCACCTATCTCTGCATACCAAGTTCAATACAGGTACATAAACCACAGCCACAAGTGTGCTCTTATAATAAAACCACAAAACAATCCCAGACCACCATCCTTTTATGTTCCTCACTAACAGGGATGGATATTGTGGAAGCTTCTTCATTCTGTGCTCTATTGTCTGCACTGAAAAGCCTGTGTATTGTTTTTGCCTCCCCGTCCTCAGTCATCTCATTTTAAAAGCTCCACATGTCACCTCTGAAAACACCACCTATCTTAACTGGAATTCGGGGTGGGTGTCTGTTCTCTATGTGGGCTGTGTGGTGTGCAGCGTAGCGTTAGGAAACAAAGGCAAGAACACGCTCCGACAAGTCTTCGTCTTATGAAGAGAAGAAATGTGAGAATGTGGTTAAAAACACAGAGCGTTACTCATACATTACACAGATTAAGTCTATTTGTGGCTTCGCCCCGATCACTCATCGCATCCTGCTTTGGCACTGACCTCATGCATCAAAGAGCAGCTGTAGAAAAAAAAATGAACACTGCAGGTACAGACAGATATTTTAATAAGAAATTCAAGGAAAGATACATGACAGGATTGCCTCGTCTTTGAAATATAAAACCACTATTAATTACCTTTCAAGTCACAAGAAGTAACCAACCACAAAATACCTCGAAGGAAGAAAGACTTGTTTAAAAATTGGCCTTTGTTCATTGCTCAGTATTATATTCTTATTAGTGGGTAACAGGTTGTGTATTCAAATTCATCCCAGACTGAGGTCACTGTAATCCCCCTCATCTAAGGAGAGTGGGGGTACGAGGGTTTGACTGAAAGTGAAATCCCCTTCAGTAAAGACCCGTGTTAAATGTAATGGG